GAGGAGGAGAAACAGGAACAGGAACAGGAACAGGAGCAGGAAGAGGAACAGGCGGAGGAGGAGGAAAAGGATGAGGAGGAACAGGATGAGTTGGAAAAGGAGGATGAGGTGGAGGAGGAGGAGGGGGGCAGGAGCAGGAGCAGGAGTAGGAATAGGAGGAGGAGGCGGAAGAGGAGGAGGAGGAGGAGGAGGAGGAGGAGGAGGAGGAGGAGGAAGAGGAGGAGGAGGAGCAGGAGGAGCAGGAGGAGGAGTAGGAAAGCACTGGGCAGTGGGCAGTAGGCAGTAGGCCCTGCGCGGTGAAATTGCTCGTGCTCTGAGGAGCTCGACCGTCAAGGGGAGCCGCCAGGCGGTCTCGGTTCGAAGCATTAGCAAGGCCCGAATTACTCTACGTGGCCCAGGCGGGGGGGGATGCTGGTGCACAGACCAGAACGTCCACCCTGGGTTCTTGGCCATGCAATTTTCACCATCGCACAGTATCGGGCGAAGGGGTCATCACACATCGATCTGGCTCGGCAAATGCCGCAGAAAGATGGAGTCTAGAACTCCGGTTGCGATTTTCCGCGACGTTGCAATATGTTTGCAACTTCGAAGCTCAGAGTCCCTGGGCTTCGGGAGGTTCATTGGACCTGTTCGAGGCAGGCATTCTAAACAACTGCACAGAAGCGGTCGCAGCTGATGATCTGCCCAGGGCGAAACACAGCGCGTGGCAGTGGTGCCAGTGCTTCCCGATGCTTGGCCCGCCAGGGGTCTTCTTCGGGCCCCGCGGGGCCATCAGAAATCGCGTGGGGACGAGCAGCCGCCCCTCGGGGAAGGGGTCGAGACCTCTCTGCGGGCCCGCGGCCCGGCAGCATCCACTCGTCGGGGGGATCTGGGCCCTCGCGTTGGCATTGCTCCCGCGGGCGTGCCGCCTGGCGCCCCGCTGCGCGCAGGGGGAAGTTTCCGGGTCGCGCGCCGCGCCGCGGGCTCTGGCCCGCCGCGCTGTGGCGCAGCACGCTCTCCACTTCGCGGTCCCCGGGCTTCACCTCGTCCTCCTCCTCCTCCTCCTCCTCCTCCTCCTCCTCCTCCTCCTCCTCCTCCTCCTCCTCCCCCTCCTCCTCCCCCTCCTCCTCCTCCTCCTCCACTTCCCGGTCCCCGGGCTTCACCGCCCCGAGCCTCTCCGAGCCGGGCGCCGCGCGGGGAGCGGAGCGGCACGCGATGCACTCGCAGGGCATAGAGCGTGTCGTCAGGGCCGCCGCCGCGACATGCTATCCAGAAGTTCCTGACCGTCGCTCCTCGTCCTCCTCCTCCTCCTCCTCCACCTCCTGCCTCTCCTCCTCCTCCTCCTCCTGCCTCTCCTCCTCCCGCCTCCCCTCCTCCTCCTACTCCTCCTCCTCCTCCTCCTCCTCCTCCTCATCCTCCTCCTCCTCCTCTCCTGCTCCTGCTCCTCCTCCTCTCTCCTCCTCCTCCTCCTCCTCCTCCTCCTCCTCCTCCTCCTCCTCCTCCTCCTCCTCCTCGGCCCGAGCAGTCATCGGACTCCTCGAGGAGCTCCACCGCCGCCCCCCCGCCTCTCTGTCTTACCTCCTCGCGTCACGTCTTTGCCCTCCTCGTTCCTGCCCTCCTCGTCACGCTCCGGTCTGCGCAACCCCTGCGATCCGACGCTGCGACGACTTGTTTGGCGTCGCAGCGCGGCAGGGGCAATCCGCACGCGCGTTTGGGCGAGACTGGGGCGCGGCGGCGCGAAGCACGCACGCAAGAGGGGGGGGGGGAAAGGCGAGAGGGCGGCCGCGCGGAGGGGGAGAGCCCGGCGCGGGGGCACTCTCACGCAGCGGGGCTGCGGCGAGCGCGCGGACGTTGCGGAGGAAGGGAGGGAGGGAGATGAGGGTGAGGAGCAGGAGGATGAAGAGGAGGAGGAGGAGGAGGAGGAGGAGGAGGAGGAGGAGGAGGAGGAGGAGGAGGAGGAGGAGGAGGAGGAGGAGGAGGAGGAGGAGAGGAGGAGGAGGAGGGAGGAGGAGGAGGAGGAGGAGGAGGAGGAGGAGGAGGAGGAGGAGGAGGAGAGGAGGAGGAGGAGGAGGAGGAGGAGGAGGAGGAGGAGGAGGAGGAGGAGGAGGGGGGAGGAGGAGGAGGAGGAGGAGGAGGAGGGTGAGGAGGAGGAGGATGAGGATGAGGAGGAGGAGAAGGAGGAGGTGGAGGAGGAGGAGGAGACTCTGAGACTCGACGTTGCGAAAAGATTGCAACGTTGCGAAAACATTGCAGCATTGCGGAGAATCACTACTGGAGTTCTAGGCTATCCATCTTTCTGCAGCCTCTGTGGAGCGGAATCGATCTCTGTGATAGCCCCGTGGCCCGCCACGTGGCGAAAACATCTGGTGTGCAGACTGCGGACGCTCCGGTCCGTGCACCGGCACTCCCCCCCAGCCCGGGCCACGTAGATTAATTCGGGCCTCGGTAGTTCTTCGACTCATGGTCGAAGAAGAAATGAACAAGTTCTTCGACAAATAATGAAAGAAACAATGCAGGAATATACGATAAATAAGGAGCAGATGAGGAGAACATATGAAGCATAGGAAACAACCAAGAAAAAGAAGAAACAGTTTTTCGACCCCTCCATGGCTGAGTCCCTCAGAGCACGGGCAGCTTCGCCGCGCGGGGCCTACGGCCCAGGGCCTAGTGCTTTCCTCCTCATATCACTCCTCCTGACTTCCTCTCCCCCCCCTCTGCTTTCTCCTCCTCTGTCCCCACTCAGGGGGGGATCGAGGAAGAGGAGGAGGAGGAGGAGGAGGAGGAGGAGGAGGAGGAGGAGGACGCGGACGATCTGGACGAGGGAGGAGGACGCGGGGGGGGCGAACCTCCAGCTGCCCCGAGGACTGTCCCAGCCCCCGCAGGGCACCGCCCGCTGCGGCACGGCGCCCGACGGCGGCGCCGCGGCGGGCAAGCTGGCGGCGAGCGGCGCCACCCTGCCGGCGCCGCTCGGGGGCGCCGCCACGCCGTCTCCGCACGAGGGGTCGCCCGGCTGGGACAAGGCTCCGCCTCCCGAGGGGCAAAGTCCGCGCGGAGCTCCAGCAGTTTATGCTGATTCATGCGGCTCTTCGCGGCCACTCGGTGGTGTGGGGTCTCATTTTTGTTGAAGGGACAGCGCCTCGCGTCCTTCTCTCCTCTCCTCCTCCTCCTCCTCCTCCTCCTCTCCTCCTCCCCTCCCTCCCTCCTCCTCCTCCTCCTCCTCCTCCTCCTCCTCCTCCTCCTCCTCCTCCTCCCCCTCCTCCTCCTCCCCCTTCACCTCCTCCTCCTCCTCGCTCGGAAAACTGTCGCTGAACAACGCGCAGCAGATCAGGGCCATCTCAGGCAGCCTGTGGGACTTCTTCCTGGTGGACGGCAACAACCACCCGGCAGTCAACGCGGGGTCAGCAGCGGGCTGGAAACATGCGGAGCGGAGCCAGGCAGGAGAGAAGGACTTGGGCAGCCCGCGCGTCTACGTGGCAGCGGAGTTTCTGGGCACGTTGGGCCGAGCCGAGAATCTACCGACACACCTGAAGGAGGACATGGGCAAGCTCAGCATGATCATGGACGTGATCCCGTTCAACGAGCTCGCCGACCTCGTGAGGTTCATGAGGGTGAAGAAAGCCTACCAGGGAAATGGACAACAGGAGCGGTGGAAGGTACACATCATGCTCAACCCGCTCGGCCTCATCCCGTTCAACAGCCACACGGAAGACGAGATCAACAAGATCAGAGCGGGCAACACCGAGAGCCCTATCAAGCTGGAGCCGCTCAGCATCCCTCAGATCAGGGCCATGATATACGCGGCGATGCAGGCAACTGGGGGCGTCGCGATCGTGGGAGCTCCGCCACCGACAGCGCTCGAGCGGCAAGTGCAGAAGTACGTGCGCCAGAGGCAGAGCATGGAGTAGACATTCGAGGATTGAGGCGCCAGGCAGCAGCAGGCAGTGTGAGAGCAGCAGAATTACTTCAACGCCTAACTGGCGTTAGGCCATCAGGCAAGCAGAGATGACGGGATGGGGGTGGTAGTGAGGGGGGGGGAGTGTGCGACACTTTTGCAGCGGCTATAAGTATAGAGGCCTATGAGATTTTCTGAATCGATTTGACCTCGCCCGAGTGTGGGAGGGATGCGCCAGCGTGCGATAACCCCCCACCCGTTCTGTGCCTTACGCGTTGGAGGGATTTTCGGTCCAGTGTCGAAGCGGGCCCGTGAGGCCCGATAAGCCATTGGGTCCCGCAGGCATCCCTCTGCCACGCCGAATGACTCAGCCAGCAGACCCAAGCTCGAGCTTCAGGCGAGCAGCCTCTGCCCAGTAACGAGACAGAGGTAACCGAACTGCCAAGGCTTCCGACTCCGACTCCGACTCCTCCTCCCCTTTCACCTCCTCCTCCTCCTCCTCTTCCTCCTCCTCCTCCTCTCCTCCTCTCCTCCTCTCCTCCTCTCCTCCTTCTCCTCCTCCTCCTCCTCCTCCTCCTCCTCCTCCTCCTCCTCGTCCTCCTCCTCCTCCTCCTCCTCCTCCTCCTCCTTCTCCTCCTCCTCCCTCCTCCTTCTCCTCCTCCTCCTCCTCCTTCCTCAGGGTTCGCGTGCGTCCGCGCTTTTCATGCCGGCACACCCCTCACAGGGTTCGTGACCCAAGGCGAGCTCCATCGAAGGTCCCAGTGGCAGGGTCATGAGTCCGTGCCTCTCATGCGGGGACATCCTCACACTTTTCATGGCCCCCTGAGAAGCTCCACCGAAGGCCCAAGCGTAAGGGTTCGTACGCGTCTGCGCTTTTCATTTCGACACACCCGTCCCGCGCGTCGTGACCCAATACGAAGTTCACCGAAGCCGCGCTTGTGATTTCGGGACAACCCTCACACGCTTCGTGGACCAACAGGAGGCTCCACCGAAATGCTTAGTGGCAGGGTTCGCATGTGTCTGCGCCTTTAGTTTCGGCTCGCCCCTCACACGCTTCGTGGCCCCATGGGGACCTCCACCGAAGGCCCCAGTGGCAGGGTTCGCATGCGTCCGAGTTTTCAAATTCGGCACGCACCTAACACGCATCGCAGCCCCATGGAGAGCTCCTACCAAGGCCCCACTGGTAGGGTTCGCATGCGTCCGCGCTTCTACTTCCGGGGCGCCCCTCACACGCTTCGTGGCCCCATAAGGAGCTCCACCGACGGCCCCAGTGGCAGGGTTCGCATGCGTCCACGCCTCTCATGTCGGCACCCCCCTTACACGGCTCGTGGCCCAAAAGGGAGCTCCACCGAAATGCTTAGTGGCAGGGTCCGCATACGTCCGCGCTTGTCATGTCGGCACACCCTCACACGTTTCGTTGACGGAGCTCCACCTAAGGCCCCAGCGGCAGGGTTCGCATCCATCCACGCTTTTCATTTTGTAACGCCACTCACACAGTCTTCGTGGCCCCATGGGGAGCTCCATCGAAGGTCCCAGTGGCAGGGTTCGCATGCATCCGTGCCTCTGATGTTGGGGCGCCCTGACACGTTTCGTGGCCAATTGGAGATTCCACCGACGGCCTCAGTGGCAGGGTCCGCATGCGTCCATGTCTCATTCCGGCAAGCCTCTCACAAAGTTCGTCGCCCCATAGGGAGCTCCACCGAAGGCCTCACTGGCATGGTTCGCATGCGCCCGCGCCTCTCATGCCTGGACACCCTCACACGCTTCGTGGCCTCATAGGGAACTCCACTGAGGCCCCAGTGGCAGGGTTCGCATGCGTCCGCGCTTTCCGTTTCGGCACGCACCCAACACGCTTCGCGGCCCCATGGGGAGCTCCACCGAAGGCCCCAGCGGCAGAGTTCCGCGCCTGACATTTCGGACACCCCTCACACGCTACGGAAGGATCCAGTGGCAGGGTTCGCATGCGTCCGCGCGTTCCTTTTCGGCACGCACCTAGTACGCTTCGCGACCCCATGAGGAGCTCCAACCAAGCCCCACTGGTAGGGTTTTCATGCGTCCGCGCTTCTGATTCGGGGACATCCCTCACACGCTTCGTAGCCCCTTAATGGGCCCATCGAAATGCTTAGTGGCATGGTTCGCATGCCTCCGCGCTTGTCACTTCGGCACATCCCTTGCTTCGTGGCTCTACAGGAAGCTCCACCAAGGGCCCAGAGTGCTGCGTTCGCATGCGCCCGCCCCTGTCATTTCGGCACGCCCATCACACGTTTCGTGGCTTGTAGTGGGCTCCGCCGAAGGGCCCAGTTGCATGCGTCCGCGCCTGTCAATTCGGACATTCCTCACACGTTTCGTGGCCCCACAGGGAGCTCCACCGAAGGCCCCACTGGCAGGGTTTGCATGCTTCCGTACCTTTCATTTCGCTTGCCCTAAGGGGACCTCGCGATCCGTCCGCCGCCACCTATCCACGCTGCCCTGCGTTCCGTCTTTCCTGCGGCGCGCTGCTTGTGAGGAGAGTGCCGCTTCCGACGCCATTCGTAGTCTGTTCGTCCCCTTCCTTCGCTTCACCTGCCTTGCAGGACTCGCAGCTGCACACGGCTGGGCCCTTCGACTGAATAATCGATTTGTCCATCCGTCCCATGGTCATCCGACGCAATTCGTAGTGTTCTGGTCCCCTCCTTCGCTTCACCTGCCTTGCAGGACTCGCGGCTGCATGTGGCTGGGTCCTTCGAATGGATAATTGATTCTTCCATCCGTCCCTTGGCCATCCGACGCAATTCGTAGTTTGCTCGTCCCCTCCTTCGTCTCACCTGCCTTGAGGGACTCGCAGCTGCCTGTGGCTGGATCCTTCGACTGGAAAATGTATCACTCCATCCGTCCCTTGGCCATCCGACGCAATTCGTAGTTTGCTCGTCCCCTCCTTCGTCTCACCTGCCTTGAGGGACTCGCAGCTGCCTGTGGCTGGATCCTTCGACTGGAAAATGTATCACTCCATCCGTCCCTTGGCCATCCGACGCAATTCGTAGTTTGCTCGTCCCCTCCTTCGTCTCACCTGCCTTGAGGGACTCGCAGCTGCCTGTGGCTGGATCCTTCGACTGGAAAATGTATCACTCCATCCGTCCCTTGGCCATCCGACGCAATTCGTAGTTTGCTCGTCCCCTCCTGTACTTTAAATTTCGACTGCGTAAGTTATCATCCCATCCGTCCCACGGTTCTCCGACGCAGTTCGCAGGTTGCTCCACCCCTCCTGTGCTTTACATTTCGACTGCGTAAGTTATCATTTCTATCCGTCCCACGGTCCTCCGACTCATTTCGCAGGTTGCTCGTCCCCTCCTTTGCCTTAAATTTCGACGGCGTAAGTTATCCGTAAGGGCTTCGCCCCCTGCCGCTGGCCCCCTTTCTCAGAGAATGGGCCATGGAAGAGCGAAGTCATGAGGCTTTGGCTTTGCTGTGAAGCAGTGTCGGGACCTATTTGTTTTTCGACCCTGACCCTGCCGATCTGCGTGAGGGGTGCCGCCGAATTTCAGACATGTGGCAAATCCTTTCGCGTCACCCGCCCTGCGGGACCCGCGGCTGCCCATGGCCCTGGTCCCTCGGCCGCATCGTTTACGCATGACCCCACCCGTGCCTTCGCG